GTTAAGTAGGCTCCTGCGTCGAAGGCTCCATCTATTGGTGGGGAGCTGCACCTGCTGGAAATCAGGTCCAGCGTCCCTATACATCAATATTCTTTTTTGGCTGCAAACCGGGTGTAGCGTCCCACAAGATATCTGAAGAATTGTCCTGATTAAAACACTGATACTAGCCCTTTTGTGCCTCTTCACCCACTCTGGGCGCCAGAAATTCTTGACTACCTAGCACAAACCACAATACTTTGACAGGATTAACCATACCATGATGAAGGGACCGAACAGGATCCTGGTAGAGGAAAGGGATCAGGGAATTCAGATAAGGGTCTTAGGGGAATAGTAGGATCAGCACAACTCCAATCATTAAAGATTAGTCTATAATTCTTTTGAACACAGCCTTGTAAATTCTCGTGAGCTCCTTCCCACAGCACCCTCCCCAACCTCCCTCCCTGGTCCCCCCCAAGCCAGCTTTTATTGAACTTTTTGATGTGTTGCCATATCTCATTTTGTTGAGAAAGATGCTGGATTTTTTCTTTTAAGTTTTCCCATTTAATAGTTATATCACTCTGAATATGTTGTTTAATAGAATCAGTGAAATCTGGACCGTCCAATCTAGCACCTTCCATTTCATGGGTACACCTTCTAACCCATATTGCCCAAATAATTGCTCTCCTACCAATTGTAAACAAATTTTCAGTAAACTCATCCTCTTGACCAGGATGCCATAATTCTAGGAGAAGGGTTTTCCAATCCCACGGCCACGGGAGAGAGGTTCCCAACTGGCTCCAAATCCTGTCCCACCATCGCCAAAGCCAGACTGAACCTGGGCATTGGAGGAAAATATGTTCGATTGTTTCCAGAAAAAGTTTGGACGGAAAAGCAGATTTGCAGAACTTACACCAAGGAAGAGCAATACCTTTCTGTTCTAACGAAGTTCTGTCAATGATCCAGTCATTTGTAGGAAGGCAACGGTGAGAAATTTGCCATTGCAAAGAGGCTATTTTAGCAGGTTTAGATTTACAGGTATGAAACCACTTAACTCCTCTTAGCTCTTCCTTACTGATTTTCAGATTCTTCATCCAGCGATCTTCAATGCGATCTTTAAGATTAACCCTGGGGCGAAGCATTCTGTATGTGGCCTTAACAGAGAGGGTATGTAAGGATCTAGAATAGGAGCGACCTTGTCTTCCTGGGCAAGACCAGGGCACCCAGATCAGCTTGATACCTTTACGCAGAACCTTTTTTTTTCTGTTTTTTTATAAAATCAGACAGTCACACGGATTTTTCCGGCATATGGGTAACACCGGCCGGGTTAACTCATCACTCGCGGAATAATGTATACTTAACCAGTTGCAGTCTTTGGGTTGCAGAACCTTTTTAAAACAAGTGGGCGAGCTGTTTTTTGGGCTCTGTGGAGGCGGCTCTGTACCTATGAAATGGAGGGTGCAAGGCTTAATGGTCTAGCATTCACTGATACCACCAAGCGGCAAATACAAGCTGACATCACCACTCAATGGGAGAACGTGAATGCACGAATCAAATACCTCTCCTCGACTACCAAAATTCTACAACACATTCAACAATTCTGTGGCTGCTGGCTGGGGGGAATCAAAAGAGGAAGGCTGGGGATATAACAGTGGAATGGGGCACAGGGAGACGACCAAGGAGACTGACTCAGAGAGACTATCACCTGGTTTTCCATAATTGGATGACCCTGTACCCTGCCATACCACTCCGCCCTCTTCCAGACTTCCCTGATCTCTTCCCCCCTGTCTTCCATCATTTCCATGGGTATTGTGCATCAGAGTTGGTTTTGGTTTTGAATAGTTGCTTGGTTTGGTGTGCTATTGTATCAGCTGTTGCAGTTCATCTCATCTTGTTCTTGGGTCTAGTTTGTGAGGGCGTAGGGTCTTAGGCTTGGGGTCTGTTTCAGTTCCCAATAGACAATGCCTGCCGTCTCGACCCGAATAGAACTCCCGGTCATTGTCACTGCATCTGGACTGAAAGTTGGGCCAAATGCAGCTATAATGACCGGGAGTTCTATTAGGGTGAAGACGGTAGTCTTGGTTGATCGGATAATAGTAAGATTTGAAGTAGGATTCATATTTCCAAATTGCGAAATACTAGGGCTTATCTTCTAGATTTGGCGCCGAATAGAACGCCCGGTCAAATTCTTCAGATTCTCAGACTATGTCACATCAGATGCTAATCAATGTAATCATGTTCCAATGGGACGCTGGACCCGATTTCCAGCAGGTGATGCTCCCCAGTAATAGGTGGAGCGGCTGCTAACAGAAAAAAAAGAAAAAACTTCAAAAAAGTGCATAGTGAGTATACAGGCATGTATGTCATTATGTGAATTGCATATAATGAGATCTTCTTTTTTGCTGTCATGAAGCCCTTCCACATCCATAACATCAAAAGTTTTCAGAAGATACACATCAAACATTCAGTGAAGGAGATCTTTTTTTTATTCTGAAGTGCCAATACATTTCCCGGTTGTTTATATCATCTAGTCTCGACAACCCCCTCCCCCCCCTTCTCTCTCTCTCTCTCTCTCTCTCTCTCTCTCTCTCTCTCTCTCTCTCTCTCTCTCTCCCCCCTCCCCCCCCCGACAACCTCGATCTCCCTCTCCCTGGATCTTGCTTGTCATATTCTACTGCAGTCTTTCTCGTTGCCGCTCACTTAAAGTGAGTGACAGCGTGCTCGCGAAGCGCATCACGCAGATGCTGTCATGCCACACGTGCACCCTGCGCAGTCAGCTTCTCGGGAGCAGGAGGTTATGGATCGCCATCATCCTGTTCATTTTGTGGATGAAGAGCAGGGTCCATTCAAACCCCGGACCAGATAAGTAGGTTGTGGATGATGCACACAGCCCAAAACTGAAACAAGAGGGAAGTGATGTGCGGCTTGTGTGGGCGAAGAATCAATAGCCACATGCATTTCAGCCTGGCGAAAGCACGATCCACCCAGCCTTGAAGACCCATCTTCACTGTGTCAAATATCTGTTTGTCTGTGTCTTCCTCTTTCTACCCTCTGCACCACCAGCCATTGGAGACTGGGGGTGCGGTTGTCCCCAAGGAGGTAACCTTGAGTTTCCAAGCCCCCATGGAGTAGACCAGCACCAGAATGAAACAAGGACCGCTCCTCTGTTTGCTGCCATAGCGACAAGTTCACTCAAATCTGTGGGTTATGCACACTCCCCCACCTGGCGCACCATCCCGGATACACATCGTACACCTGCAAATCTTTCTTGACGACAACCTGTGCGACGATGGATGGCGATCACAATACAGTCTACGGGCTCACTGACTGGTGTCTCTATAAATGGCGCTGCAGCATTCAGGAACCCCTCTGTTATTCAACCTGGCCTGCCCTTCCACGAGAGGCTGGCCACTAGAGAATCCGATCTCGTCAGGGTACGTGGAGAGTATTGCCATCAACACATCATGCGACCGGTTCCCGGACTCATTTGGAATGATGTAGCCCAGTGCTCATATTATCTAATCGTGTTTGCTCCCCATGCTTTCGCACCTCAGCGTCAGTAGTGACCCAGAAAAAGTTGCCTTCGCTTTTCGTGTTCCCTCAAATATCTGTGACTTTTATCTCCACACTTTCCACTTTCCTCTATCTTACTCCAGTGAACTGGTTTTCAAGGCATTCCACCAGTTGAGCTGGCGACTTTCACTGTTTCACGCCTAATTCACCGCCTACGTGCCATTTACACCTAGTCGTTGCCCACCTGTACAACACATAAGCAGCCAGGTGATCTGGGGGCACTGGCGATACATCGTGTACAACCTCTGCAGGTAAGGCGCAAGCATCGCGGCGACTCTGTTGAAAACGTCCTCCTTCATGCTGATGTTGTCAAAGAAATAAAGGTCAGAGATTACTAACTCAATCGAATGAGATTGAACTGGCGCCACTGCCACTTCGTGGCCTTGGACATGTATGTTTGTCGATATTCGAAGTCCACAAAGTGGGAGAGCCTGGAGGAGCTGATAAGAAACCCGAGAAAAGTTGGCCCGTGGGAGCCTTTAGCTCGTCGAGTTATGAGCGTCTTTGAAAAGAAGGGCCGAAGGCGTCATTACATTTATGTTAAGTTTAGTTGCTTGGGCAGTAATACCTTTTGATTATGGTATCGTACTGTCAGATTTAAATGTAGGTATACTTTACATATTTGCTATTTCTTCTTTAGGTGTCTATGGTATTATAACAGCAGGTTGGTCTTGTAAGAGTCATACAAAACCCAATTGTCTCTGTATTTCTTACCGTGAAAACCAAGCCAAGTTTGATTCTCAGGGAAGTACTTATGCTTGATTCTTTGTCACACGGCAATGAATTTACCACTTGCATTGGCGAACAACCGAACCCTTGGAACCACCACCTTCCACCATTACCGATGGAGTAAGACTATGCCTTCACCATATGCACTACAGTCACCTATAAGAACTTAGTTACTTAGGTATGAGCTGTCAGGTTCCCCCACACTCTGTTGGCCCTCGGCTTCACCCACAACCGAAGGGGGGAGAACGGCCATCATCTACAAGCTGTAATGCCATGGCCATGATTAGGAAAGAGGCGACTGTGAATGCCAGGTTCATCAGGTCCATGTCGCCGGACATCCGGATCCACTGGTGGAGCATCATGATGATAAGGAACATTTTTCCCTTTGAAAGGCCAGTTAGAGAGATCCCCTTCTGTCTGCGGACAAGGCTGTCAGAATGCTGTAGCAGCCTGTTACCTCACAGAGAAATCCGGCAGTCATCCTGCGGGCGCAGGTGTGCTACCTTTATTGCCGATACTTCATCTTTTGCTAGGGAGTCCTAAGCGATCATAAATGTCAATGCAGCTTTACATTCATTCCGGTTACGAAATGAAGTCTGTCATCAAACTTGCTCCAGTTTCCTTTCCTTGCCTTCAAATTCAGTGGTGTAAATGTCTCAGTTTGGCCTCCTTGTCTGGGCATGGGTTGTTGTTCTGGAGACTGTGAGGAAGAGAGGGATGATATGGTGGTGGGGGTGAAAGGGCAAGTGAGGGAGGGGAAGGAAAAGAAGGGGGGGGGGGGGGGGGGGGGGGGGTGTTTTTGTGGCAGCCTCTTGCAGAAGCTATCCAGTTCAACAAGGGAGACGCACTTTGCCAACTGCTGAGAGAATACAACGGAAAAGTACCGGTAAGGCCTCTCTTCGTATACATGCTGTACTGTTGCTCATCAGAGTATCATTCTGACACAAGGAAATCATGGTAGCCTGATGTCGTACTTTCAAAAAAAAAAGAGGCCTTCGGAACAGGGGCGACCTGCTGAGACTCTCTTTTTTTTTGTTTTTTTTTTTTGTCTGGACACACACGCCCCTTCTATTCTGGGGGCCAACAGTCCGGTTGCTTGTCACCAGCAAGCATGTTTTTACAGCCAAAGAAGATCCGGATGCTTTTTTTTAATCCTTTTTTTTTAACTGTGAAAGCTACCTCTTCATCTATCTGCTGAGCGCCAGAAATGTCTACTCAAGCCCTAGTAGCTCCCAGTAATTTTGAAGGACATTGAGAAAAAAATGCTGCAAATGCTGCAGCCACCTCGAATCAATCTACCTTAAGCACCATACTCGGTGATTCATCAAACATACCCTCCTCTTTTTCAAGCTAAGGGTTGGACCCCACAGGCCAAAATTTTGGAAAACGGGCGACGCGAGTGCTTTTCCCGGACCCCAGTGGAAGAAATCGGGTTCCTGGAAAGTGTTTTTTTTGTTGCGTTTTTCGCTTCCCGGGACCCCACAGTCTGGAAAAGTGTTCCTGGAAGATGGCACTTTGACGTTTCCACATGTGGTTTCGGTCCGAAATGTGTCATTTTCCGTAATTGACGGCACTATTTTGTGGCAAACGGACTGGGTAGGGGGGGCGGGCTGGAAAAGTCTGGAAAACTTCCTTGCACGACCCGGGTCCATGGAGTGTCCGGTAGGTGGCACCTTACGTTCCAGCGGCCACACGCCGCCACCCACACCTCCCGAGTCTGACATCGTGGGCACCCATACCACCCCAACAGACTTCGCTGGTCCACAATGACGGCACAAGCTTGGAAAAGTCTGGAAGAAATCGCTTTTCCAGGCCTTTTCCAGCCTCTTTCGTGGGGTCCCGTCGTTTCATCCGCGGAATCTTCCAAGTGCCCTTTCCACGATTTCCAAAATAACGCACTTTTCCAAGGTTTTTCCAGTGGGGTCCAGCCCTTTTTTTTGGGGGGGGCAACGGCCCGTGGGTCACAACCCACGTTTTGAACGGGCAAAAAAAACAGTCGTCCGCAGGTCCGTCCCGACCGTAGTTCAAAACGGCAATAATAACAGTGGCCCACATTATACACATTGTGCCTGTTCGAAACAGGCACTTTTGTCTTCTTCTTTTTTTTTTTCCGGTCGTGCCACGCCGCGCCGCGCCGTGGCTGTTTTTTTTTTTTTTTTTTTTTTTTTTTTTTTTTTTCGGCGTGTGGGCAAAAAAAATAAAAAAATAAAAAAAATCATGGTCGGGCCACGCCGGGGTTTGGCCGATATATCTGGGTCGTGGCCAATCTGGGGTGTGGCCGAGACATCTCGGCCGTGGCCCAACCATGGGGCCGAAACACCTTTTTTTTTTTTCGTTACAGCCGCGGCGTGACCATACGAAGGGGAAAAAAAAAAAAAAAAAAAAGTGATGTTTTTTTTGCCGATTTGAACTTGGACGACGAGGATGTTGCCATTAAGTGTTTTTTTTGCCGTTTTGAACTTTGACGACGAGGGCATTGCCATTTAGTGTTTTTTTTGCCGTTTTGAACTAAAAGTGTGACCCAGGAGCAGTTTCCCCTTTTTTTTTTTTTTTACCTGGGGAGCAGCTCCATCTATTGGTGGGGAGCATCACCTGCTGGAAAACGGGTCCAGCGTCCCTTATACAGATTAAAAACAGAGGATTTCAGACTTATGAGATTATGGAGGGGTCCCGCCAGCATTGATTACCCTGAAGTCCAGGGGATTTACTGAGCAGGCTATTGGAAAAGGGGAGCAAACCTCTTCACCCTGAAAAGGGTGCCAAATACCTACTGCAACAAACAAGTCCCTCCCCCTCCCCACCTACCCTTTTGACAGCCACCTGTCGAACTGGTGTTATACAGGATCCAATCCGTACCACTTCATTTCCACTTGGCAGTTAGTCCCTCCCCCTCCCCGCTGTCGAACTATTGCTATACAGGATCCAATCCGCACCACTTCATTTCCACTAGACAGTTAGATGGGGGGGGGAAGAAGTCCGGGAATTTGTCCGGGGATTTCAATGGGATCGCTGCATCCACTTTGGTCCATTCGTGGAACCGCAGACGGTAGTCTCTTATTATCTCCATCCCTCGTTGGTCCTCCCCTGGTGCTGTGTGTTCTCCATTCCATTCCACCGCTCCTATCCTCCCTCCGTTTGCATCCCCAAGCCAGCTTGAGCTAAAATCCTGGATTTTTTGTTTGATGTCTTTTCGCCTGTCGAGGAGTTGGATTTGTGCTCTGACTCCATTCCATTTTGCAGTTATTTCTGTCTGAATCTATTGTTGGATACTCTCTGTAAGTTCGGGACCTTCCAATCTCGCCCCCTCCATTTCAAAGGTGCAGCGTCGTCTCCAAAGTGCCCAGAGAATCGCCCGTCGTCCCATCCTAAGCATGTTTCCGGTGAATTCGTCTATCTGGTCTGTCGGGTCCTTGGGCCTGGCTTCACACAACAAGGCTTTCCAGTCCCAGGGCCACTGGGCCTTTGTTCCCAATTGTTCCCACACTCTGTCCCACCATCTCCGCAGCCAGAGCGCACCCGGACATTGGAGGAATATATGTTCAATTGTTTCTGGCATTCTCCGGGAGGGGAACGCATTTGTACACAACTTGCACCATGGGAGAGCACGCCCTTGTTGTTCCAGAGACGTTCGATCTATCAACCAGTTATTGGTTGGGAGGCAGCAGTGCTCTATTTGCCATTGAAGTGAGGCCAGTTTGGCTGGCTTTGCCTTGGCCATCCTGAACCATCTAATTGGTCTCAACTCCTATTTGCTGATGTTCAGGTGGTCTCTCCAGCGCTCCCCCACCTGGTCACGCAGATCAGCTTTCGGTCTTAGGAGCCTGTAGGTAGATTTGACTGTTAAGGTATATAGGGACTTGGTGAATTTCTTACCTTGCCTTCCTTGGGTCGACCATGACCACTCCGACGGGTCTAGGGCCAAGTGGTGAAGGGGGGTGCCGGGATAGTAGGTTATCCATTGCTCATTCTCATGAAGTACTCTGATTCTATGTACCTCCTCCATTTGACATGTTAACATTTCGTCCGTGGAGCTTTTTTGGATGATATTGCCTTGCCCCACTGGTGAGAGTTGCACTACTACTGTTCCATCCGGGGAGCAGCGGACCAACCTGCCCACACTTCCTTGCCGATTTCTAACTGCCATCCAGTCCGCTTTTTGCAAGGTAGGGCCCTTACGGAGTATTCTCCACCATGCTAGCGGGATCGTTTCTATCAGCTTTTCCAAGGCTTCATAGGGTCAGTGGCAGTACCGCAGTCTCTCGCGTAGCTGGTCGGGTCTGATCCAGTCCTTCTTGTCAGTGTCCCATATATCCTTTATCCTTATTGTCCCTCGCTTGACCCAACTCTGCCAGGGGAGGTCCGTGCAAAGGAGCATCCGACCCTTCGAGTCCACCACCCATCTATTTCCAAAGAGGGGTTGGCGTGCCACCTCCTCCCATCTTTCTGGCGCTGTCTTGTCCAGAAGGGGGGGATCTCCATGTCTTGAGAAGGGTGGGCCAGAAGGGGTCATTTCGTAGATCAGCCCTGACTGCTTGCCTAGGGCAGTCAGGATGGGGGTCCCTTTGTTGCGCTCTCGCTCCTGGGATGAACCATTCTCTGTTTTCCAACCACGTCAGCGGGTCGGTCTCCACCGGCGTTTGTGGTGCTAACCGGGAGATTTGTTCCAGAGCTAACCCTCTCCAGGGGACATCAGGGTTGAACAGAAGGCGTTTAAGCCATTGTAGTGTCAAAGCTTTAGTTTGCAACAGGGGGTCGATAATGCCCAAGCCTCCCTTGGTTTTGGGTTGGATTATGTCCTTCAGAGAAATAAAAACTTCTTTGGAAGTCTTCAAGTGTTAGCATATATAATCCTAATAGCATATCTTGATTAGGTAAAGTAATCGGATCGCCTGTCGCTGGAGATAAAAGATTGCGATGAGAAATCATAATTAGACGTGCTGAGTGCCATGCTACCCGACTAATTGCATTTTGTTTCTCGTGGTCTCCCCGCCATAGGAAGGCGTCTATCTGACGCCGCAGTGGGCGTAAGGCATTCTTGTCCAATGCCCAAATGGAAGATTTGTACCACATCAAGGCCAGAACTACATTGTTGATGATCAGAGCACGTCCAAACAGTGAGGTGTGCTTGTCTCTCCAAAGGGTCATTTTGGTCAGGGGCGGCGTGAAGGTCCAGTCATTGTTTGTTGGTGGTCTGCCTTCTGCCGTCATGGAGATACCCAACACTCTAATGGGGGCTTCCTTGGGGAGCCAGCCGATTCTGGGTTGTTCTGGGGGTCTCACTCCTTGGTGGTGTATCCACCATCCCAGGGTTTTGTTTCCCCAGTTAACTTTCATATCGGACAGCAAACAGAAGCGATCCATCATGTGTTGCACCTCTTCCATTGATTTCTTGGATGCATCCACCATCAGTGTCAAGTCGTCAGCAAACAAGGAACACACCGGGATTGTCTCCTTAGGTATTGCTGTGACTTGAATTCTTTTGATGTCTTTGTGGGCCCTCAGGTTGGCGGCCAGTGCCTCCATGACTATGACGAAAAGGTAGGGTGCTATAGGGTCTCCTTGTCTGACAGACCTATGGAGGCAAATAGGGGGGGCCAGATTGCCTTTTACCATGACCCTGGTTGTTGCGTTCGCGTGGAGAATCTCAATCTAGCGTCTGAAGCATATCCCAAAATTAAGTTTTTCCAGGCACTTGTCAAGAAAACACCAATCTACATGGTTATACGTTTTTTCAAAGTCAATAAAGATGATTGCTGCATTATTTTTGGACTGCCTTGTTAGCTTGATCATCTCATTAACTAGAAGGATGTTGTCTTGAATGTTTCTGCCTTGGATAAAACCTGTTTGGTCAGGGTGAATGATGTCCATCATCATTGGTGTCATACG